CGTGTCCATTCAAATTTAGGCACATTGTTTCTGGAGTCTGGCAGCTATTTGGATGCGTTGAAGCACTTTGCCAAAAAGTCCCTTCTAGAAATCAAAGTATGAATTTGTTTCAACATTGCTAACAAAAGCGAATAATAACCTTTTTTTTCTAATCAATAAATGGTCATTTCATTTATTTATGCATTTATTTTATTTATTTAAATTTGCTACCCTCTATCCCCGTTTTGTGACGAACGGTTGACCATGAATACTGCATTATACTTCTAAGCCAAATTTGCAGAACTTGAGCTTCGAAGAATGGTCAGAGTTTTGCTTTATTTTCAGTCCGGAACGTCGTTCAGTTCTTCCCCTAGTCTCGTTCAAAAGCTCACAAATGACTGCGCCTCCTGCACCTTTCGTGGTATTTTCTTCAAAGATCAATGCTAGCGTTTACTCCCCCAGTCATTATCTCGCTTTATTATCAGTGACTTTTTCCTGAGCATCATAAGGAACTCTATCGAATACATACATCTTTGCCTCATTAGTCATCGATTTTGATCATTTTCTACTCTCCTTGGCAGGGACTCTCAGGCTGATTTATAAAGAACATGCATTGCATTTTCTAAATATGAAAATAATATGATGTGACTAGAATGCGATGCTCGAGACTATGCTGTGCTGAATTTTTGAATTTGAATAATCACTTAAATATATCTATTTATTTCAGTAAATCTCTTTAGTAATCTAGTTTGCTACCTGTGCTTCGTCCCCGTCAAAATTTCCTTTTTACGCACCGTTTGCTGCATGCACACTTTTTATTAAACAATTTTCATAGAATGTTTTTCGTGAAAATTACATTTAAAATTAAATTTCTTAAGTCCGAGTTAAATTCCCAGTGATCCTTTTGCTTTTGTTCCCGAGGTGTTGAAGCATTTCGTTGTATGTCAAAGTGTATTCTCTTGCTGTCCGTGAATCTAAAATGATTCTTCACAGTTTGTATTGGACTCTAATAACATGACATCCTTATTTGCTGAGAGCATTCCTGCAGCACCTTAAAGGCATTCCGTGCTGCAATCTCGCAAGTTGCCCTGCTAGGTCTTCTAATACCAGATTCATTGAAGGATAAATATATGATTAAGCGGAATCTACCCCTGATTATATAATGATTAGATATTTATAAGTGACCGTTCCTTCGTATTTTGCTCGGTTAATAAGGCTCTTTTTGAACCTTAGACAGAAAATTAGATGTGTATTAACAGTTTTCTCCCGTTGCGGAACACATCATGGATGCAAGCAGGAATGATACATGACGCGACGAGAATTTTTGTATTCCGACTATGGAACTTTCACAACTAAAACTGTCCAAACGTCCTGTTGTGCCCTCAGAATTTGAAGTTGTCGTCATATGATATGTTTGTGGATGCCAAATAAAGTAACTGTTTTCCATTCCTGTCAGTGACAGTACTCGTGTATTTCACCGGAAGGGAATTTTCTTGTTTAACATAGTGTTTTGATTAAGGACTTAAAACACAGCCCGAATTTTGTTCTTCTTGTCTATCCATGAATATAAACTTCAAGTTCTAATACCCTGTGCTCTATTGTAATTAATAATTTCCAGTTGATTTTTTTTAGAACGAAAACAAATCAGAAGCCGTTACCACCTTATGCGTTGTCGGGCGAATCCAACTGCATCTGGCCATGTACGAGGATGCGTTGAAGACGTTTTTGCAGTGCGTGGAATTTCATAAGGAACGCGGTACCGGCGTTAGCGAGAGCGTCGATCAGATGTGCGGCATGTATGCCTGTATCGGAGACGCATACCTCGGCTTGCAACAAATTGCAGCTGCCGACCAAGCCTACGACCAGATGCTTCGTTTGGCCCGCATCCTCAACAGCACCTCAGCTGAAATCGACGCCCTGACGCGGCTGGGCCGCCTGTACCAGAAAGAGGGAAATTACGAAAAAGCAAGGGACTATTTTCTGACGGCGG